TGAAGTGAAAAGTTCTGACCAGTGAATCCCCACTACGTCCGAAAGTTGTGCTGATCCCTTCCTGTTAAAATACTGCGATACAGGCTAAATTGGTTACGAAGGGCGTCCGCGTGAACTTTTGCAGTACTATCGATAAGACTTATGCCAAGGTGGTTCTTATGCAGTGATCTGTGGCCTTTCTTCAAGGTCGACCCAGCCACGACGTTGTCCCATTCCGTACGGATGACTTCCGCCTTCCGATTTTGGATCGGAAATCTGTGTAGCGGATCAAATAATATTACTGAACAGCACTTCTAAATCCTAACCAAGCCCTTTTGTTTTCCTTTAGCGACCTCCTCAGGGGTGTCTTCAACCTGGATAGCAGTCGAGGGAGCAGGGACTACCTACCAAAATGCCGACACCTCCGGTGTCGCTATCGTCGCATCTTCAAATGTTGAGTCAGAAGGACCATGGGGTGAGACGTGGTTATGTAGCTCCACCTGATGGACACAATACTGTTGGGGTTAGGGGTTAGGTTTAGGGGCTAGAGTTTGGGGTTAGGGTTAGGTCAACTATTTCTCAACCACTCAGAGTACAACCGTGCATTCCCAATAGTTTTTCTTTTGCATACAACTACTTGACCTCGTCGACTGTGAGCTCCCCGGCCCCACCTGTAAAAACCCTGCCACCACCGGTCCCGTAGTACAGGTGGCTGGGGGGTTCTTTAATTTAGTTTGTTTACTTCAAGTGGGGATAGAAAACCACATCTGACCGACTATGGGACTGGTTAGTCATCAAACTTGGGCGCAGCCTCTCGTTATCACTGGCAGCTGAGGAGCGTCCACAATACAACTGATTGGAGTGCAAAATTCATTGCTCTTATGCCGAACGAGGCAGGTCCCCGAAATTCGGATCTCAGGGATTCAGTCTTTGCGAAGATGTGTCCTAGTACCTCCTTGAAGGGACTCCAGAGGATGTGTTCCACTTCGATTCAGCTGCCTGCAACTGACGACGTCTCAGAGGCTGCTGCCGTTGTCTTCGCCAGTTGCCTAAAACTGTTTGAAGCAGCTAGACGGAAGTCTAGAGCAACGATGGGGTATGTGAGAAGATTGATACTTTACTTCCTTTCCACGACCCGTAGTCCGAGTAGTCTTCGAGTCCACGTGGCCTGAACAGGTGTTGACAATGCACGAGAGCTGGCTTCGGGCGCTGGAGCGCGGAAATACTTAAGGGACCAGTTACCGCCTCGGGAGTGCCTGAACCAGGCTGCGAAATGTGCAAGTTCTTCATGGTTTGCTGAGTGGTTTTCCACTGTGCAACAGTCGGGAATTCGCCCGTAGCAGCACCACTCTTAGCGGATCGGGCATTTAAACCATCCGAGACGACAAAATCGTGTCTTGGAACACGCCTCAGCCTGTGTGCACCGCAGTAACTCTGCTGCTGATAACGGCCTCACAGAGACGCACAAATACCGTTCTAAGTGACACTGGTTCTCAGCGCAAAGGCGTGGATTTGACCTGATCACGATATCAGAGTTGTGAAAGTCGTAGATGCAGAAGAACTCGGCGTTTGGCATGAGAACCCCGGGAGGCGGGCAGCGCTCATGCGTGGCCGGAGCAAGAAGAGTTGGAATGTTCCCATATTCAATGTAAAATTATTCCCCCTTTCTTAACAATAACACCGCCCCACTTATCACAGTCGAAACTGCTGAATTGCGATGGATGACATCAATTTAATCCTCAGTGCATGCGGATCAGACAGTCACAGGAGAAGGGTCCGGTCAGGGAAGGGGGCATGCGTCTACACATTTATTGTGAAACATCCCCCTTTGGACTAATTACTGGGGCAGTTTTTCTTTTACTAGCCGCGTCGTCATCCAGGGACGCTTTGAAAAGTGTTCAGTGCCAGGTGAGTGCCGAAACATTAGCCGAAAGTTTAAAAGCACGCCTTCAAAGACCAAGGAGTTTGGGATACTGATATGCATGAAGAAGAATCTTAAGATAATTTATGCCTCACGGCGATCGGAAGTTTTCAACAGCAAATCACCTGAGAGCTCCCATGTAGATACAGTTCCAAAAAATCATTACCTATCCTGTAGACAGTTTCCCATGTGGTAGGGGGCGCTCACCGATCGTTCTTACGGAACTCACTCGTTCCGTTGTGCCTTACGGGCTCTCGCTCTGGAGCCCAACCAGCAGCCGCACAGCGGCGCATGATATAGGCAGAGTGGCATTACCGACAAAGACAAGGGAGACTGGAATGGCCATTTCTGGCTTATTAGCCGTTGTCAGCCAGTCATACCCAACCCCGAAGTGTGGAACACCCGAGTCGGTAATAACATACTGCCTATATCATGCGCCACTTGCGGCTGCTGGTTGGGCTCGAGAGAGAGCCCGTAAGGCACAACGGAATGAGTAAGTTCCGTAAGAACGATCGGTGAGTGTCCCCTACCATAGTATATTGCCGATCAAAACCGACAGGGCAACGGGCTCGTGGCAAGCGTTTACAGGCGTGGACTTCTAACGAACAGGTCGGGAGTTCGAGCCTCGGGTGTTCCACACTTCGGGGTTGGGTATGACTGGCTGACAACGCCTAATAAGCCAGAAATGGCCATTCCAGTCCCCCTAGTTTTTGTCGGTAATAACAGTTTCCCATGTACCTTCTCCAGAAGAGATTGAGCAAAAAGCCCACTTATTAGTGTGCTTATGTAGGGAAGTATGCATAATTGTCCGGTCCGAAGAAAATCGCATTTGGAACAATTTTAGTGATTTTTGAGCTGTCTTCAATCATAGGTACCTAGAGGCTGCCAGCCAAACACATCAGGGGCAACACTCAGCTTAATAAAAATAGTCGGGAAGAGAGCAAAATGCCAAAGTGGTCTGGTCTGGGACAGAAGGATTACTGCTCGGTAGGGGAAACACTAGTATTAGATTCATCAGCTCAGGGACAGGGAGAAGCTCAGTTCCTTGAGTAGAGGGGGACGGTCAACAAGCTCTAGAGGGCTTAGACTTGCAATTACCGCACAAACAGGAAAAGAATCTCGGTCAAACGCCTGTTTAGAAGTCAACATTCTTGCAGACATCCCAGTCTGCCAGTCTTGCTCAAAACCCGCCCGTCTCTAGAATGGCGGGGTAAGTGAAGGTGCCTGCTTCGGCTTAAACAACTGCGTGGACGACTGAAGTTGGTCTAATTAGTAGTGAGTGGTTCCACGGCCTATTGCGCAGTCTGTAGATTTAGGGATCAACCTGCCCGCACAGGGCTGGCAAACAGCCCCCGCCCCCTCCCCCAATTCACAGGCCTTGGTTAATCCACCATTATATTGCCACTGCGGCGACTTCTGGAAGGTGCGTCTGTGCGTGTGTGTGTGTGCTGTTAGGGCACGGTGATTTGACTGCAGGGCAAATTAGCATAGAAAGACGGACTTCAGGAGCTTGGGTTTTTCGAATCGTCAAGGGGTCTGTCGGACCAGAAGCCGGTAACTGCAAAAAAGGTCAGTTACCCGTTGCGTTCTAAATAGGACGGTCTTCGAAACGTGGTAACCAGAAATTTAAGGATGAGCAGATACCAAATCATCTTGACAAACCGGCTACCCTTCAAAATTTCGAGTTTTGTCCGAAAATGTGATGTATAACTTCATGAAAAATCAGCTGAAATAAGCAAGCATATATGCATCTGAATGAATCATAACTGCACTTTGAAACCACCCCGTAGATAAAAAATCTTCAGTTCGCAAAGGAAGTTGAAATAGACTAGATTGTCCGCCTTCGTTGTAGCTTTCCACTTTCCAGTTTTCAAAAGAAATCGCCGTTTCAACAACTCCGACCACCAGAAGGACTTTTTTAACGTTAAGGCGCAGGATAACTAGGGAGTCGCCTCAAAGTGTGACAGGCTGAAATCCATACGTCCTCGAACATGCGACTAGGACCTTCGGAAAAATAAATCCCGCCCAATGAGTTTTATTCTACTGACGGACTGCAGCAAATCCTTCGAAAACAGGAAGACACAGTATAACGAATAAATTGGCGGAAAACCCTGTATTTTACACCTTTGGGACATTTTTATTGGATAAAACAGCTTTGCAGAGTGCGCATGCGCTTATTTAATGCGCAATATTACGTTTACTAAAATCATTAAAGTAACACATTCAAATAACGTATTTTAACCTTCAGCGCATTTCATCTCACACCGGCAAGGCCGAAAGCCATTCATGCATCCCTGTGTGAATGCCCCTTAGAAGAAGAGTTTGGCGGGGGATGAGAACTTCTTCTGCTGTCAACTTCTCTTCTTTACATTTTATCGATACCAGATCACAGTGGCATCTTAAAAGGCTCAACTAACTTGTTAATCAAATTCACCATGACGACCATCACTTCATCCTGATTTACCTACCTGCTGCGAGTATACTCTGCTCGACCCGGTGCGGCTTTCAACACATCATCTGCCGTACGACGGCGTTTCGATGACCAGTTGAATCAGCATTAGTACACGTAATGAGGCTGTAATCCAGAAACTTCTACTGGACTTGTTACCATAATAATCATACCGTTTTACGTTTATATCTTTTCTCTTTCTCACAACATTTAGCCGTTTGTATCCTGGCCACGGTAATTGAAGTACGTTTTTGATGGGTGTGTGAAATAAAAGTTTAAGAGAAAAACTTGTTATATGTTTTCCCCTCTTCTTCATCCCACCCCAAACACATCGTCTCGAAAGTAGTCCAGGTCAATTCGGGCCGTCTCCTCATCACACCGATGATGAGCCATAGTGGAACTCGAAGAACGCATGAGAGTGCCATAAGTGACGTTAAGAAGAAGAAGAAGCCGTATCAATTAACCAGTATCTTTGGAGTAAATGATAGAAGACCTTAAAACTCCATCGAAACGGTACATGTGTGAATGAAAAAAGTCTTGGTGTGTAAAATGTATAAATTTAATGGCAGAAAATAAATGTGAAAAATGTGTGGCACTTGCGAAACAACGGCGGAAGAAATTCGTTCACCGCATTCGCACTGGAAATTGTAATCTGGGTGAAAGGGGCGTCAGTCAGCAGCATTCCAAGCGTGATAGTCTCAGACTTAAATCACACATGCAGCAGAGGAGCCGCATGGAGACGAGACGCACATTTCCCATTTGTGTGAGATCTGGCAGTTGGATGCTTGTAGTGGGTGATGACGTTGTGTGATGTAGGTGGGGGAAGATGTGATGGTGTGGCGCGGCCGGCGGTTATCCACCGCAGGTTTCCTGAATGAACATGTGGCTTAATGGGCCCACGTGGTGGGTGAATGTGCGGTGCAGCGAGGGCAGTTGCGACGGGTGTAGTTGGGTGCTCCAGGCACTGGCACTTGCGATGGATTCGCAAGTGACCAGCGAGGCCGATGCGTGGGGCGAATGTGTGAGGACAGTGTGGGCAGGACAGATCAATGGCGTCAGGGTCGGTTTCATTGGTGGAGCTGCTGGTAGAGGGGGCGGTGGGCGGGGATGTGTGGCTTGGGTTAGGCTTGGTGGGCGTGCAGGATGTGCTAGGTGTTTCGCAACTGTGGTGACTTCCGCTCTCGTTGGTACGCATGTGACCTAAAAGGCCCATGCGGCGAGTGAATGTGCCGGGGGCGGTGTTGGCGGTGACGAGGTTGACGATTGTCGATGTGCTGGGATTGTGTGCAGTGGTGGTGGGTACAGGAGCCGCCGTAGCGGATGTTGCCCAGGCAGATGAGTTGTCCACGGCTTGCAGTTGGGCGCCGTTCTAGTTGATGTGCAACGTAGGCAACGTCGGGTGGCGGCTGACGCATAACTACCGTCTTCTCCTTGTTGATGATTAGGCCGAAGTTGTCGCAGGCGGTGACGAAGAGGTCCATGCTCCTTTGTATGTCCCCTTCCGGGATGATTTTGAGGGTGCAGTCGCCGGCGAAAAGGAGTTCATGGACGGTAGTTGTGGATAGACACGACTGGAATCGCACCCACCGCTGATTGAGGAGTTGGCCGTCCGTCCTGTAGGCGATGCGGATCCCGGGACGTTCGTCACGGTAGGCGTCCATCAGCATGGCAGAGAACATGAGACTCTAGAGGGTGGGCGCGAGCACGCAGCCATGTTACACGCCGTTGGCCACTGCGGATGTCTCTACGACAGCTCCATTGTCCGTGACATGCACCATCATGTCGTCGTGGAGCTGGCGCATCATTTGAGTAATTCGCTCGGGATAGCCGAATTTCTGATGATTTTCCACAGTCCTTCGCGGTTCCTTGTGTCGAAGGCTTTCGTCAGATCCACGAATGTATAGTAGATGGGGACCTGCATCTCCTGGCACTTCTTCTGAAGTTGTCGGACGGAGAAGATCATATCGGTGGTTCCACGATGATGGCGGAAGCCGCACTTGCTTCCCGGCAGGAGACCCTGTCCCACATGGTTGTTCAGGCGGTTGAGAATGATGCGAACGGATATTTTCCCGGCGATGTTCGGCGCGGAAATGTCTCGATGGTTGTCGCAGATTTGGCGGTTCCCCTTCCGCTTACAGAGGTGGATGATGGCGGCGTCCCTGGAGATCTGGGAGACTTCTCCCTGACGTCACATCTCCTGGAAGGGTGCCGTCAGACGATCCATGATTTGGCTACCACCGCGTTTTTAGATCGCAGCAGGGATGGCGTCTGCTGGAGGACTGCTGCGCAGCCTTCATTGCTTCGTGTAGAGGGGGCGGAAGAACGAGGTTGGCGTTGGTCTACACTTGAGGCAGTCGGACGATGACGACGTCGGAGACGGTGCGAATGCATCTGAGACGGCTCCATTGTTCGCGACATGCGCCATCACGCCGTCGTGGAGCTGACATACCATCTCAGTGAATCGTTCGGGACTGTCGAATTTCTTCGTGATTTTATACAGTCCTTCGCGATTCACAGTATCTAAGGCTTTCGTCAGATCCACAAAGGATCCGCATCTCCTGACGATTCTCCTGAAGTTGTCGGACTGCGAAGATCATGTCGGTGGTTCCACGATAACAACGGAATCCCCACTGGTTTTCTGGCAGGAGATCCTGTTTCAGACGCTTGTTCAGGCGGTTGGAAAGAATGGGAGCGAAGATCATACCGTCGAAGTTCAGCAAGGAGATGCCTCGATGGTTGTCGCAAATTTGGCGATTCCCTTTCCGCTTATAGAGGTGGACGATTGTGGTGTCCTTGGAAATCTGGGGGACTTCTCCCTGACGTCACATCTCCTTGAAAGCGCCGTCAGGTGTTCCATAAGTTGGGTGCCACCGAGTTTGCAGATCTCAGAAGGGATCGCGTCCGATCCGAGCACTTTTCCGCCGGAGGACTGCTGCACGGCCTTGATGGTTTCGTGTGGAGGGGCGGAAGATCGAGGTCGGCGTTGGTCTGCACTTGAGGCAGTCGGGTGATGACGACGTCGGGGACGGTGGAGGGGTAGTTGAGGATGCCTCCGAAGTGTTCGGCCAATCTCTGGAGAATTCGCACCTTCTCAGTGAGTAGGGTGGTTCCGTTGGCGCTGAAAATAGGAGCGGTTCCTTTGGCTGTGGGACCGTAGACAGCCTTGATCCCGGGGAGGAAGTTCTTCCATCCGTTTCAATCCGCATATACTTGGATCTTCTCGGCCGTGCGAACCGTCCTCACTTAATAAGGCCTACGGCGTACTGATGATCGGTAACGACCGAGAAACGGCTGTCCGTGTCTGGCCTGTTGCACTCTTAGCGAGCTGCCTATGTATCCTACATCTCCCGCAGTCGCTGGTGCATAAGGCGGCGATTACGGTAGAAGTCAAGTTGTTGTCGTCGGTTGGACGGTTGACGTAGGCTTCTTGCAGTCGTTTCTTCTCGGCGAGCAGGCTGCTGATGGTGGGGTCGTTGTCGCCGAACCAGTCCTGAGTTTGGCGACGTGCGCGACCAAGGACATCCAGGGCGGTTGCCTGGATCGTGTCCCTCATCTAACACCATCGGTTGTCCGTGGAGACATTCTCGTCGGCGGCTAATGGAAGGTTGGCTAGCCTTTGAGCTAGCTCATTGCTGAAATGAAGATGGTGAATAGGCAGAGACAACAAAGCAATATTTAGATTATCTGGGGTCGCCTATCTTGAGGTCCCCTGCGAGGCTGTAGGCGAATCGTCATCTTGGAGATGACGAAGCGATGATCGGTCCACCCGTCGGCACCCGAGATCGCCTTTGTCACCAGCACGTCCCGCTGGGAACGCCTTCGTACGAAGCCATGGTCCAGCAGGTGCCAGTGTCGCGACTGGGAATGCATCCAAGTGGCCTGCTCTCGCGTCGGAAGACGGAAGCAGGTGTTAGTAAGGATGAGGCGGTGCTCTGCGCAGGTTCGTGCAGCGCGTTCTGTCCCGGCGCGGGCAATGAAGACGCCAGTTTTTCCGCCTTCAATACAAATGCCATGAGGTCTTGGAGGTTCTTGTAGGATTTGTTCTTCACCGCGTCGGCGCGTGTCATCGGGGAAGCGTAGACGCTGACGATGGTGGCGAATTTGCCTCCCCAGAGAGGCAGGCGGAGGCTCATCAGGCGATCCTTGATGTCCTGCGACAGAGGGGGCAGTCGTCTCACGATGTCGTTTAGGACGGCAAAAGTGACACCTGCGTCCCGTCGCTCTGCTCTAGGGCGACCGCTCCAGAAGAAGGTGCAGCCGGCACCCACCTCCTCTAGTTGGTCTTGTTCGGAGAATCGGGTCACGTTGAGTGCGGCGATGTCCGCCTTGTAGCGCTCCAGTCCACGGGTCACTAGCGCTGTCCTCCATTCCGCCTGGTTGTTCCCGGGATTGCCTAAAAGGGAACAAACATTCCAGGCTGCCAGAGTGAGCGGACTCACTCTACCTGTCTGTGGGGCGGATCATTTGGGAGGAGGAGGGGAAGAGAGAGAGAAAGAGAGAGAGTATGGTTTCGTGTTTGATTGTTTCGACCGTGTGTTTTGTGTCTGCGAGCCGTGGTCATCGCGCAGATGGAGTGATCTCAGCATCTGCTTAGGACACCTTTACTAACCCAATCCCCCCGCGGGGGTAAGCAAACTTGTTCCTAAATAGGGCTATGTAGACATTCTAGACGGCTGCCGAACTCCACTATGGGTCACGACTTTGTTTAACGGGAGAACGACCCGAGCTAGCCTGGGTCGCCTACGTGCTTATGACCCATCTGTTAGACCCCAGTGATGGACAATCTGCGTCAAATCTCAGCTGGTGGTCAGAGTTATGGTTGACTGAATGAAGGCAAAAAGCCCGAAACAGTTCTGTATCAGTTTACCCCTAGACCCTGCCGTCCCCTTTCTGATATGTTTATATATGGTGGTGGACGGGCGCTCACTGATAGTTTTTACGGAATTCACTCGTTACATTGGGCCTTTGGGCTCTGAGTTTTCAGTTTATTCGGTTTATTTGGTAAGGATAATAGGCAAAGCCTTTGAAAACCCTAGTGATTACATGTCAGCTCGTTAGAAATAACTGTACACAAACAATAAAAATATTCAGAAGACGAGTTGGCGAGCATACGTAGCTTTCGATCAATTTTCGTCGGGCCAGTACAGTTACATAGGAACGGGGTAGAGGTAAAACATGTCAGCGATAAGAGAAATCGATAAAAGTTCTCCCTAAAACACAGGCGGGGTGTGGGAATGTGTGGGAGGGGTGGATGGGTAATAGTAGTCATTGTCAGGGGCGGGGTGAGAGCGGAAGTGCGCGGGGGAGTTGCACCGTTGGTCGACCTTCGACCACTGTAGGCGCGGAGCCTGAACGTGGTTCTTCTATGCGCATAAGATTGACTTTCGTAATCTAATGGCGGCCGCTTCCGCTATCGCTAACAGGCGCTGGCCTAGTAGCTTAGGGTAGCTCGATGGGACCTTCGTTGGAGATCACACGATGTCCGGAATCGACAACATGCTCGAGAATGGCGCTGCTTATAAAAATATTCGCTATTAAAACAGTACTCGATTCATTTGAGTAGCATTGTCTCGGGGGAAAAATTGCTGTGTCGCGGGGTATTTAGTTCAGACTCAGACTGCCGAGGGAAAACAGGGGACACAAATAATCATCCAAGCGTTTCTTGAAGAGTTGCAGAGACGTTGCCTCCACGACTGACTGAGGGAGATCGTTCCATTTCTCCACTAACCTTTGCGTGAAAAATTTAGAACGATAATTCAGCCTGGACATTGTTGTCCGTAGCTTCATCGAGTGTCCACGAAGATGGGGTGAAAGGTACCCGCAACCCCACTGCTGCTGTCACTCGTCAGCCGTGTAAGCCTAAATGAAGACTGATTAACCCTGGCTCGGTCTACAGCGGTCGCATCTCAACTGTTGGAGACGGTGATAATCTAAGTGAAGCAACATGTGGACTGTAGGGATATAACCTGCTCAAATAGATAAAGTAGGTATTATTTATAGGCAACGGATATTTGGTGCCATCTCCCGATTGTTACCGAAACATGTCCTCAAAGCTATATATATCTCTCTCTCCCTCTTGAGTCCACCACCAGCCGCACACCGGTGCGTGATGTATGGGCAGAATGGCATTACCGACAAGGACAACGGAAACTGGAATGGCCGTTTCTGGCTTATCAGTAGTCGTCGGCCAGCCGCACCCAATTCCGAAGTGCGGGACACCTGGGGCTCGATCTCGTGACCTGTTGGTTAGAAGTCCAACGCCTCGAACCACTGAGTCAGGAGGTCGTTGTCCTGTCGTTACGCCGGTGAGTGCCGATCTATTAGCTTCTCGAAGCAAACAAGCTCCAAATGGGTGGTAAGGGTCACGAACAGGTCATCAACAGGGAAGTTCCTGAGGATATTTTCCGTTCCACGACCATGCCATATAGTTAAGCGCCACTACTCAGTGGTTGTGGGTCCAAATAAATCAAACACTGAAAATACGGGCACAGTTCTATACCCGAATGAACAGACGACGGCCATAAGAAGAAAAACCCGAAGTCTGGAGGGCTAGTCCTTACACTAAAGGAGTCTCCGAAGCCGTTTCACGGCTATTACAACCCGCCAGGGTGGGGGGCCTCGCCCATCGGCCCCAGGCGACAATTCGTCACCGTCTGATGTAACCCAAAGACATACTGCCACCCAGTGAGACCTCAGCAGTTGTCTATAACATACGTTGTAACGATGGGGACTGCAACTACGTTGGGAAAACCGAACGGAAATCGCAGACCCTCCAACATGAGCACAAACTGGCAACTCAGATATTAGACCCAAGCTCATAGCTTTCGACTCACATCGGAGAGACTAGCCACAGTTTTGACTTTCAATGAGCAGTTGTCTTGGGCCGAGGCACCTCAAGGACAGAGCGTCTCACAATTGAGGCTTGGTACTCAGATGCCAACTACATTGACAGGCATCTAGACCTTCCTGCGGCCCATAAAATCCTGCGTCACTACATACGCCATGATCAGGACAAGACAGTCATACGGAGCCTAGGAATACCGAGCGAACACGGCCTGTCGACTAATTCACCCAAAGGAGAGACACAAATGCAACTAGCCCCAGTTGAGGTGACGACACACAACACAGAAGACCGCCAACACTCATAAACGACGGCCAGTAGGCCAAGGCAACAAACGAAAAAAAAAATTCGATCAGCCCAAGGCCAATCAATTCGGCTGTCTATTCAAAATTCTGGTCGGTTTTTGCGCTAAACGCTTTGATAATTGAGAGCCGGCCACGCTCTTCGAAACGTCAGCAAGACAATTCCTTCGATCACGGGAGCAATTCTTTTGTTACAGTTCTGCAATGTTGGTGGCACCGGAGGGGCTCACTTGGATTTCCGAACGCGAGATCTGCTCCACTTGCGTTGGAATAAATCAAAAACACTAAAAACAGGTTTAACTACCAGTCTTGGATTGGTGAACAAAAGATACATGATTGACAGTAAACACTGAGGGGTGTAAATTGGGGACACAATCATCTAAACTAGTTGGTCAACCGATCGAAAACACACCGGCTGGCAGCATCAGAGTGCCTCTTCCAAGCGTCATAACCCGCAACAACGAAGTGGTGCGATTGGTGACCCGAACAGCAATACCGGAACGAGTAGACAAGTACTACATGTGCCAATCCACCTGACCGCGGATGTATAAAAGATGCAAATAAAGATTAATTTGAAATCTGACGCATGAATTATTCCAGGGAACTTATTGAGGCTGCGGGAATGTAGATGTGACAACGGCTTTTGGGATCTTGTATATCACAATAACTGCCTCAACCACCCATACATTCCACTGATTGCCTAGAACCTTTGGCAATTATTTAAAAATTGTTCCTAGTTTCGATCCGAACCAACAAAGATAACGGTTTTACTGAATCCCCGTGGGCATTGGGCGTGTAAATGTAAAATAACCACTAAATGTCCGGGCCCGAAACAGTATTTACGTACAACAGCCAAAACATACATGGAATGCTAATGACTGTCATTTCGAGCGTTCGACTGCTGGGGCTTTTTAAACAGCAAATAAATGGCTAAAATTCTTACGCAGAAATCCAGCTGCTGTTTTGAACGGCCGAGTTTAAATATGCCTACACGGTCCAACAGATACGTGAATA